GAATATAACTCTGTGCCTTAGTGCTGGGACAGCAGAAATTTTCCAGGAAGACAGAGCTAACCAAGAAGTATGTACAAGTTCTTATTACTGTGACCACAAGACCTGCAACAAACCTACACATTATGAAAGAAAGGTGCCCATGAATCATCTGCTGCAGAGATGTCAGGCTGCACAGGCGAAGTGGTTCCACTGTCCCTTCAAACTAGGGACAAAAATGAAGCATCGAAGAGGGTTTTGCTATTTGCCTAGATAAACTTGTCTTACCCAAACTACTTGAGCACCTGCAAAATACTCTTGGGTGGCTCTCAGCTTATTACAGACTCAAACTCAATTTTCCTAATGCTGAAGCAGATGGGTTTAGATGAATACAGAAACCAAAGTTTGTATAAGCTGTGCAGTACTCATTCTGAAGAGCTGGCAGGGGCAGGGCAGGTACCCACATTCAGGAAATGCAGGAGTCTGCCTTTTTTCCTCCCTTACAGGGCCAGTGCTAGAGAAGAACAAGCAGGAGGCTGACAACTGCATAGCTCCTCTGGGGCCCAAGTCCTACAGCCTGCAGGCTGGGTGAAATCACTTGATGAAGAATGGTGCAGAGGAATCCAGGACCAACAATGACTGAGATTATAAGCATCTATTGGCATTTAATGACCCACACACAACAGGCTGGCAATTAGCCAGAGATCCTCCCTACAGGCTACAAAACTGGGTCAAATCAAACAGCAGCCTAGTTTTGAATAAAGACATGTGCTCATTTTGCTTGAGCAAACAGTTACTAAATGTGGCCAACTTTTAGCAACCTTCCAGTTTCTGAAGGGCCTACAGGGAAGCCAGAGAGGGACTCTTTGTTAGGACCTGTAGTGACTGGACAAGGAGTAATGGGTACAAATTAAAAGAAGGGAAACTCAGATTAGGTATTGGGAATAAACCTTTCCCTGTGAGTGTGGTGAGACACTGCACAGGTTGCCCAGGGAGGCTGTGGCTGCCCCAACCCTGGCAGTGTTCAAGGCCAGGCTGGATGAAGCCTTGAGCAACCTGGTTTGGTGGGAGGTGTCCCTGCCCAGGACAGGGGGTTGGGAATTAGATGATATTTAAGGTCCATTCGAACCCCTTAATGATCTATGATTCCATAACTCCTCACACATTCAACACTGAGAGTCTCCACACCATGCCAGCCTTGGTCCACAGGCTCTGCAGTAGCAAGCACCTGTACCCAAGTGGTTTGAACAGACCTTCATGTGTGATCACCTTCTTTCCTGAAGGATTTCATTATCACTCAAGGGACTGTTTTTTCCTTTAAATTTAAACAAAGCTTGATAGTTCAGCTCTCAAAAGCATGGCAGAGTAACCAAAATTGTGCTTACATCAAGCTGCAAATCACATTGAAAAATAACAGGCAGAAGGCAGTTTAAAGCAGTTTTGCAACAAGATCCATGACCAGATCACAACTGCTTTGAGCCCAGGTGCAACTGCCACACAAGACCCACATTTCTGCTCACATGATGAAGTACTGACTGGTGGGAGCATTGTGGGTCTGTGGCTGTTCAAACAGCCCAACAACTCTTCAGCCTCACAAGGGCTGCAGTGCATCTGGCTCCTGAGGGGTTGTGTGACTCCCTAAGACAGTACCAGAAGGGGCTGGACACCTACCAGACATGCAAATCATCTTGTTTGACCAAACACCAAAGCACAATTCCCTTCCAAAACAGGTTTCCTACTATACTTGCCTTCACACAGCTTGACCTTCTCCTCCATTAACAGCAAGCCTTTCGCAAGGAGCTGGTTCTGCCAAGAGAGAAGAGAGACATGGATTTGGCATTTCTGAGATCTATAATAAACATGTCATACATTTTTTTCCAGATTTTATCCTCTTTGCATGCAGTTATCTAAAGATTAGTCATATGGCAGTATTTTCTCCAGCACTGGTCTCAGTGTAAGTGCTATACATTCATTAACCTCACCTCGTTCAGCCAGACATGAGAATGCAACAGACAGCAGTTAAAACACAGGCCAGAAATGGGAAAGGTCACAGGGAGGGAGTCAAGAAAATAAAAGAGTTCTTACCACAAAACAATACAGCCACAGTAAGCTATACCTCAGCCAGATGATGGAGGTGATCAAAGGGCCAGTGCTAGGAAAAGGTCCCATTCTCTTCTTCTCAGTGCTTGCCTAACTGCATGGTGAGCCAGTTCAGTTCCCTAACTTCTGCTTCTCTATTCCTACCTGAGGCTATTATTTTGCTATATTGAGCAGCTGGATAGTCTCAAGCTGCAGAAGAACTGGCAGGAGCTGGACCTTCTAGATAAACTTAACTACCACGGATCAGAGAGATCAAGATACTGATATGCTTGTTTGCAGTTCAGGACATCCAAATATCTGATTAGCTTTCTGTTCCCACTTCCCCAAACATAAGAATTGTGCAAAAACACCTACCTTTTTGTTCTCCCACCAGCACTAGGTGAATCAGTTATGCTGAAGAGCTTTGAGAATCCCAGAGAAAGGCACTGCAATCACCACATAACACACTATTACTGCATCCTAAAAGGTTGAGTCCTACTACAGAGACCACACTGATAGAGAATAAAGCCTTCTGTCCCTCTGAAAGGACTCAATATCAGGGTAGCACACAATATTCAGAGACACCTCCCCCCGTTCATCATACAGCTTTTGCTTTCAGTGGGCAACCAGGTCAAAGTTGCACTTTTGGACCTTCCATCAGCTTAGGAGCAAGGCACATCTTTTTTCACTCCCAGTGGATGCTGCTGTTACACCACTGCCTGGACACCCCCATGGCCTTCTGATGAGCTGCCATAACATACCTGCCCTTGCACTAGTGCTCTGGATGATAAACCTGCCTCCTGTAAGCACATACCAGGCTGGCCATTCATCACACACACAGGGAACCATGTAAGCCACCCAAGCAAAGAGCACCATGTCTCTGCATCCTCCCTACTGCAAGAAGCAGGACAAAAGTGAGGTACAAGCAAAGAGAGCAGCACACAACTGCATACTCCCTACAACAAGAAGCAATACAAAACTGGGGTACTGTTGTAGGGTATAAAGAGAAGGAGACATTGGTCTGTGACATTCTCTGCCTGGTAGATACTTTTCACCTGGGCAGTGACAACAGCAGTGAGCAAGCCGTATAAATAAATTCACACAAGAAATAAGAAAAACTGCAAATTTTCCAAATGTTGTTAGCAGTAAATGGAAGGTGACAGTTTAGCAAAGACTCTCTATCAGAAATAAGGGCTTTGGAGGGATGTTGGGATTGCCATTCAGATGTTAGATTTGTTCAGCAGAAGTAAAGGGCTGCACATGTCATGCTCTGGACAGCAACAAAAACCAGACTTTCCAGGAAAAATACAAAGAGTGTGAAAAAAGGAGTGAGGAGAAATGTGGAGTTAAAAAAATGTGAAACCCACTTACACTGTAAATATTTTTCTGCCTGAACAATAAGATAGTGTTGGAGTGATATTGCACTTTAATCCTTTCAAATGCATTCAGTTTATTAACAAAGCACTGCACATCTTTATTTTTAAACCTGTAGCTTGAGGTAATTACCTCTCATATATTGCAGGGAAAATTTACAGCTGGTCTTTAATACTGTATGATTTTAAACTACTTTATGATGTAGAATTATACACTTGAGGACCATAGAATCATACACAGATATATAAATATATATATGAGGCTGTTGTGCTTATTTTCCTTTGCTTCTCTCAAGGAATATGAATTCCTTCTCTGTCTGCACTACAACATTAGGTATCAATTTACGTATGCTTCCTGAGCATATTTTCTACTTTCAGAGATCTTCTTTTTATTATTTTACAGCTATGTCAGTGACTAAAATACACATTTACACATGTTAATGTGTACAGTTCTGTCTATTACAAACCAGAAATATTAATCATTACTCTGTAGTAAAGAATTTATAATGCTCCTATGAATGTACTATCAGTAACTCCATGTGCTGAATAGATTGTATCATCTCATTCTAAAGATTTCTTTAAAAAAGAGCTTAGGTCCATATAGTTATTGCAGATTTTTCACTTATCCTCTCAGATTTTCCCTTTTCCCGTGGAAGAGACTTTTTATTTAAAAAAAAACCAAAAAACACCACATTTCATTTCTCTTCTCTCCATCTTAAAACACCTGGAAATTTTACTTCTCCATCTTTTCTGCAAAACTCACAGGCTTAGAAATTGATTCAATCCAAACATTAATCCCTCAGATCAAGCCAGACAGACAAATTGTCATTACAAAACCCTAGAGGGTCTGCTGACAAATCAATACAACCTAATAAACGCAGCCACAGCAGAGGTCTGGATCAGACCTTGTCTAGATTACAAGTCTTATGTTGCTGTGCATCCCTTCTTGCCAGAGGTGACCCAGAGGCACAGAGCTAAGAGGGAAAATAAAGCTTCTGTTTGCAGGCAAGACCAGATAAAGACCCACACCAAGTAAGCTTGAAGGGTGCATTGATATGAAAAGGTTTAGCTGCCACCTTCCATCTCTTTGCAGTTACAGCTGATCTGGGAGCTTGGGAAGGCAATTATTCCCTTCCCTCACCAAATCAGTTTTTCCTGGGCTGCTGGGGTGAAGTTCTCACCGTGCTGTTGGGACACTATGGGATGCTATAAGCTCATTGTCGGGGGGTGAAAACCTGCCCTTACTCTTGCTAAGGTGAAGGATGCTGTGCAGGGAAACAAAGTTCCAAGTTAACCCCCTACATGTACATGCAGGTGAAAAGTTTGGAGAGAGCTGTTTTGTAGTAGACAGAAGCAAACTTGTGAAATCTCTCAGATTGAAACCCTCCTTCTTTTCTCAGTGCAGAAACAGTAGCTGTTTCAGGTATACCACTAAGAAGGGCAGGTAAGAGAAAGGCTTTAAGGAAGTTCTCAAATGGCCTAAGTTTTGAAAGACAGGATTCAGAGCTAAAATAATCCCTTTTCATTTGTTTCTCAGCAAAGACCCTCCCACAATGTGCATGTGCTTGCCACCCTTTAAAGTAAGCTGTGCTGAAATCATTGGGAATAAAAAAGTTTTGACCACACTGTAAAAGATATCCACTTTCCTAGTAATTCGTTCCTTTTTTCCTGGCACAGATATGTTCCTTTTTCCCTTCCCTGTAAGAGAAGTTTCTCCATTCATACCTAATGGAGTAATTTCCAGTTCCCCCACCTTCCAGAAGCTGGAAGCTGTCCCAGGTGCAACAGCTAGGGCTCCTTTCTAAAACCAGCAGTGCCAAGTATCTTCTCCCTCCCTCCTTCTGGTCAGGAGCTGGTCATCCCCAATGGAGGCAATGGAGACCCTTCAAGTGTACAGACCCACTACACTCTGGGCACTCATCTGACTTTGCCAGAGGCAGATGAGAATTTGCCTGTCCAGAGCACTCTGCCAGCAACCTGGTTGTGGTGACAGAGTCTGGACAGAACCAAGAGGAAGGATTTTGGGGTGACAGCCCTACCACTAGCACAGCTTGCTCTGCTGTGGGTGGTATAGCCAAGCAGAAGGGTGTCAAAAAACAGCTACGTAGTTTTGGCAGCAACTCCACAGAAAGCATCAAGGAGGCTCAAGCCATCACCAGCAACTTTGTATTTTGTCTGAAAGTCATGTCTTCAGAGGATCAAGGTACAAATGAATTCTCCTGCTAATAAAAAATAGGCCATTATCTTTGAGGCAAAAAAAGGTTTACACAAACACCCATTTAATTATGGACAAATCTGGCTTTCCATTCATGTCTCCAAGCCAAACATGGCCAGCATGCCTTTAAAATGCTACCTTTAAATGAACAAATTAATACTAGTTCATCGAACAACATAAGCCTGAAACAGAAGTCAACTGATCCAGAACATACACGAAATAATTGACCTCATTTTGCTGAGTGAAAAAATCAGTTTTTCTTCTGCACAATCCAGCATTTCCTAAATGCAGCCCCTTTTTCTAGCCAGCTGAGGCTTTGTGTCCTAGTGCTAAACCACACTTATACAGGCTCTACAAGCACATAACCACTGGTTTGTGGATAATCTGATGTTCATTTGAGAAAAAAAAAAGCAGCACCCAAACTTACTTGGCAAACATTTTCTACAAAGTTATTGCCAGTTGCACACAAACACCTACCTACTTCTTGGCAGTGTTTTATGAAATGCAAATGTGTGTGAGCCGCAGTATGTCATACCTAGAGCAACTTCCCACCCCCAACTCTTTTTTCTATAGAAAGAGGGGAAACAGTGACAGAAGTTGAGAGATCATTTTGAGTCTACATAGAGAAGAAATGGCAAGATAAATATGAAGTAACATCCTAAAATGACTCTTCTTAGAGCCAGCTTTGTTATCAACAGATAAAAAAAGAAAGCTCACTTAAAGAGAGAAAGTGAGGCAGGGAGAGTCAGAAGTAGAGCAGACCAGGCAGTCCAAGCACTCCATGATGTAGACCACGATGTGCCAGCCAGGCAGCACCTCTGGGAAAATCTCACAGCTGTGTCCCCTGAGTCTGCACTGGTAAGTCACTGCTCCAGGGGGGAGTCCTGCTCAGCCAGGGCACAGCACAGCATCCGACTCCACGCTTCGAGAGGCAGCAACAGGCACCACTCAGAGAGATTCAGGCACATACACAGAGTCAACTTGAGCTGACTGAAAGAAGGTGTCCCTGCTGCTGCTGCTGCCACCCAGGACTAGGACCTACACTCCAAAACAGTGCTGAGCTGCTGGGTGACCCCATCTGTGATAACGAAGCTGAGCAGTTGCTATGGAGTCTCTGGAGCTGCTCCATGAAAACTCAATCCTAGAAAGTGGCAGATGAAGCAGAAATAATTAGCAGACCTGCATGAACAGAGGTTCCCAGCCAGTGAAGAGAGAAATACAATAATAAAGACCAGCTTGACCCAAAAGATTATTGCAGACATACGGCTGAGCTCTGCAAATCACACAAGTGTGAATTCTCTCCCTTGTGCAGCAGCTGAGCTGCAGCAGCCTCTGGCAGAAAACATGAGACAGCACTTGGACAGAGAAGAGCTAGCACTGCCTTTATCCAGCAATAACCATCGCTCCAATAACCTACACAACTATTTCTTTGCCTTGCTGTGAAACAGGTAGACATAGAAACCTGGCATCAAGGAAAGCCACATCACACATACCAGACTTTTCTCCGTGGCTAAGCAGACACATGGCATTTTCAGCTGTTAGCTAGGCTTTACAAAGCAGAAGGAGAGAGCAAGCATCACAAGAGATGTTGGAATCATCTTTCCAGGCTGAAGTCCCAGCAAGACATGCAGCAGAGACCCAAGTGAAAGCTTTACAGGGACACAGTAGAGGTAGGAGCACATGTTTTCCCCTACCACTGCAGCCACCTTGCATAGCTGGGGAACCTACAGCAAGAGGGACTCTGACCATAGGAAGATTCGCCAGTGTTAACTCCTGACAGCACTAAAGGGAGAAGATAAAATCAATTTTGGCTGGGATCCAGCCTTGCCTCATCGCTGATGCTGCTTATTTTTCAGCTATCCATTATCATCTTGCTATTTTGACTTTGCTTGATGCCCCAGCAACGTGAGCGTTCGCGTGTTAGAGTTTCTGTGGCTTCTCATACAAACAGAAAGCCAGGCCTAATTCTGAGTCAGGACTTGCTGCTTCCGCTGGCTCTCCACTGCAGCAGGCTGGGGATTATATAACAACTTTGCTTCTGATCTCAAGACACCAAAGTTCTCATTGGATTACATTAGGAAATTACAGTCCACTCATCATTCCTCACCTACCAGCTCTGCCAGGGTGTGAAGTGGACATCAGGCTGGAGAGGCATCAGGTTTGGGCTACATTTGCAGCCTGTGGGTTCTGGGAGAGGTTAGAGTGCCTGGGGAGGGATCAGGTCTCTCTGCCTTGGGAGGAGACAGTTTAGCATTAATATGCATAAATGCATTTCCATTTTCCCCACTGTGAGTTTCAAGATTAATAGGACCCCAGCGAGTGAAAAGAAACAGTTCAGCCTTTTCAAGGTTTTGTTTCAGGCTGTTTGCAGAATCAGGCAGATAATGCATCAATTTATCAACACTCACTAGTTCAGCATTTCAAAAATTCTCTCCACAAACACGAGGGTCAGACAGCAGGAAAACGAAGGGAGCTTGGCTGAAAAATCTTACAGCTGCACCACAGAAGTTCCGATCGTCAACACACCCCGTTCCTCCAAATCCCAGCTGCTTAACTTCCATGGTCATGGATTTCTCTCTGTTGCAGTACAGCTGATCACCAGCAAACTAACCCAGCAGTGAGAGCCAATGGTGCCCTGCTGGGTTTTCAAAGAGAGGGGTGGTACAAAGTGCCCATTTTCAGCAGCAGAAAACTTTGTCCAGCTCATGGACCAAGTACTGAAAAACCTGGAGCACGAAGCATTGCTTTGAGGCAGATCTGCAGCAAATACTGTAAGTCCCAACTATCTGGCATTTACACTTAGACTCTGATCCAAGGAGATGGGTTGTATATATAACAGGACTGCTAAAGCAGCAGATTTATAAACACAACTCCCCTTCAGAATGAAGCATCTGAGTTCGCGCTGAAACCCTCACAGGAATTATATTTCTCTTTCAAATACAAAACAGACTCACTACCTCTGGTATGATGACAGTTTGGTAGCAGAGAAAGACTGCATAAACTCCAACCACTTCCAAAACATTCCTTCAGCAATTTCAGGAGCTAAAAACTGTTAACTCACATGAGTGTTGATGAAAAGGACTCGTGAGCAACCAAGTCAAGTTGATGACAGAGGTAGGTTTGTCTCACTGTAAAAACTCTGTTCCATTTTAGTTTTAAATATTGAGTGGTTAGAAAAAATGTGCACGTGTGAGTGCATAAAATATACTTAGTGTAAAATCACAAACTCTTAAAGCAATGGGAAATGTGATTTTCAACATTATCTTAGTGGCTCCTGTTCTAAGTGCCACAGCATAAGAGATGGAACATATTTAAGTCACTTTATCACATCTAAATATTTCATGATCCAGTTGCTCTAATTGCTGCTAGGATATGTAAAACTGCCTGACTACACAGAGAGTATATCCTTCAGGGTCCATTTCAATCTAAGAGGACAGAAAACTTGGTTCTTGGGATAACTGTCAGTGGGCTTTAACAGGTGGAGGAGGAAGGCTCTGCCAAAAGATGCACTTCACTTCCCATCCTGGTGACCTACTCCCAGAACCTCTCCCATGCCAGAAGTGATGACCACAACAAGTCAAAGGAAGTAGCTGAAAACTTTCTTTTTTTCTTGCAAGGTTATTTTTTCAGCCAAATAAGCAGCTTGATTCAATTCTGCTTATATTGGTGGCAGCAGTATTGCCATAAATCAGCTGGAATCAGCAGTGAAACAGAACCCACAGACAAATAAAATAATGTTGTCAGCCCTTATTTGGCACATGAACAGTCTCCCCATTCCATGGCCTTAGGATTTTTGAGTCAAGACATTCAGGAGGGAGCGGTAACTTTTATCACTGCCATGTGTTGTTAAGTCTAGAATCAGAAACAAGTCTGTATCTTAGCTCACAGAGGGAAAAAATCACATTTCCTACAACAGCCTTTATCTCACAGTTTGTCTCACAGCTTGCCTGCACCAAGAGTTTTACTTCAGGCTAAGTCTGACAGATGCCAAGTTACTCCTTTAAACACTGAGCAAAAATATCCCAGAAATTAAAGGTGAGTCCCAGTGGCTTCAGTGGGAGAACAGCAGCTGCAGGTGAACTAGTACATATGCACTGATGTGAACAGACAGACTGACAGAAAACAAACCCAGAGGTGAGCACAGCCAAGCCCTACACTGTACACTCCCCAAGGCGAAGGTCACCACTCTCCCAGCAGTAGTGCCCTGCTGATTATCTACATTACAATTGTGGCCTGTGCCTGAAGTAGTACAGCCCTGCCATTAGGGTGGAAGAGCACAGATTTTGCTCCTGCTTTTGCAGAAAACAGTACTGGTGATCACATCCTTCTCCCAGGACAAGATCAGATGCTCTCGGCTTGGTAAGAGGGACACAATACAGATGTGCTGCTCTGGCAATGAGCAGGCTGTAGTCTAAGCAGTCTCTTCAGTCCTCTGCTGAGAGATCTAAGGACTCTCAGCTAATGCCACTAGCCCTGGTGTCCATGTGACAGCCTTGAGGTTTACAGTCTGGAGAAAGAGAACAACACACCCAAACCCCAGCACTGGAAGCCATCCCATCCTCAGCTACTCCTGCAGAGCAACACGATGCAGCTGTGTCCTCCTCAGTGCTGAAACCCACCCAGACCTCTCTCAGTACACTTTGAATTTTCAAAACATAGGTAACAGTCACACATCAGCACCTCACATCCCTCAGGACCATGCTCAGCCTCATATTCCATCCAGGCTTTCAGGTACTAGGTGTGTCTGGATATTTTCTGCCTCTTCCAGTCTTGCACATCACGCCTAACGCTGTAATACCTGGGTACTTGATCCAGCCTTTTCAGATTTCAATTCACCACATATATTTAGTTGCAAACTTTCATTTTCTGGTTTTCAAATGAGCAGGAGCAGTAGCAAATTTCCACTTAAGCCAAGCACTTTGCACTACAGGCTCACAGCCTTTCCACTGGGCTGCCACCAGACCCCACACAGGGTCTAGGAAACCTCCTGCCACACCACACCAGCAGCCTCTCTGCAGTAAACAACTTGTGCAGAGAGGGGCTGAGGAAGTGAAACATAACTACCCTTGAGGCAGGAGTTTGCTTGTCACTTGATAGCACAGCAGGGGGATTTTTTAAAGACATGTAATCTAATACCAATAGGAAACAACACTCGTTTTCATTTTCCACTTTTAAGCTTTTAGCACAGTACACAGCAGCTGCTTCATAAAGTACTGAAATTCTCTCTCTCTCTCTCTCTCTCTTACTCAAAGGGAAGAAAACCTTTTGTTTCCAGCAGCCTCTTTTGTTTTTAATCAACACTACGCTGAACAAATTAGAGCACTGAAAGCCATCGGTGCTTTCTCAAAATCATCCAACAGGCTTTTATGTGGTTACATTTGAACCTCTGTCTATCTGGACAGCATCAGTAGAAGGCAGCAACACTCATGCACATTTGTGACTCTTCAAGTCTTCCCTCATCCTTCATATTGTGCTTTTTCAGAAGTTGAATTTATATTTGTGGGACTGAAAGGCAAACAGCCCCCAGGTTGATTTACTCCTGCTGATAGAAACTTCCTTCTCTGTGCTCCCTCCTGCCTCCAGGCAGCCGTTATCTTTTCTCTTCCTCTTTGCTGGCCCCTGCTGCAGAAAACCTACTTCTGAACTCCCTATACTAGAGAAATAAGGTGAAAAAACTCTGAGAAAAAGCACCCCATCTTCTTAAAAAAGTTCAAGTGAATTCCTTCTTGATCTCAGCAGCCTCTCTTAAGCACAAAGGAAGAGAATCCTTAATTTTGCATATACATCTACAAATATGATTACTCCCAAGGCTATGTGGCCCACATTTTAAAAGTTCAGTACCTCCATCATCTTCTGTGTTAAAACAAAAATGAAACTTGTAGGCGACATGCATGTAAAAAGGGGTCCTAATTTTTTTATAGGCTAAAAAACAAACCTCAAAATAAAGCAAGCAAATCATGCAATACCTGAAAGTAATCTGTGATGAAGGATCCAAGTTCACTCTTCAGCAGCCGTCTGTAGACAAGAAGGAATGCAGCCATGAAGTAGCATCCTTTGTTGGTCATTTCTTACAGGTATATCTGCACTTTACTACCAGTTATACCAAAGATACACGAGTCTATGTGAGTGTCATTTTGGCTACAGTTAGATCTCTTTTACATTTAGGTATATAATCTACAAAAGCCCACAAAGGTTATTCTCAAATTATAAACGAATTAAGAAGTTTCTCTGAAGTCTTCTATTTATAAACCATACACTTAGAACAAGCAAAAAAACCCACATTTACCCCCTTGAATGAACAGAAAGTTGGGGGTGAGAAGCTCAGCATGAGCTGCAGTGTGAGCTCAGCCCAGAAACCAATGGAATCCTGGGCTGCATCCCAAGGAGTGTGGGCAGCAGGTCAAAAGAGGTGATTCTTCCCCTCTGCTCTGCTCTCATGAGACCCACCTGGAATACTGCACACAGTTCTGGTGTCCTCAACATAAGAAGGACATGGAACTGTTGGAGTAAATCCAGAGGAGGCCACAGAGTTGCTAAGAGAACTGGAGCATCTCCCCTATGAGGACAGGCTGAGGGAGTTGGGGCTGTTCAGCCTGGAGAAGAGAAGGTTGTGTGGAGACCTCAGAGCAGCTTTTCAGTATCTGAAGGGGCTACAAGGAGCCAGAGAGGGACTCTGTGTTAGGAACTGCAGTGATAGGACAAGGGGTGATGGGTTCAAACTGTGAGAAAAACATTTTTTCCTGTGAGGGTGGTGAGACATTGGAACTGGTTGCCCGCCCAGTGAGGCTGTGGCTGTCCCAACCCTGGCAGTGTTCAAGGCCAGGCTGGACAAGGCCTTGAGCAACTTGGTCTGGTGAGAGGTGTCTCTGCCCACAGATGATCTGTAAGGTCCATTCCAATCCCTAAATTCTATGATTCTGTGACACAATTTAAAGTTTTTTAGACTGAAATCCATCAATTTTTCTGGTTTTTTTAAAATGAAAGATGCCTTTCATTTCACTGAAGTTGCATATGTCCCCAACATTGTACTTCCTTTCCTCTTGGAAGTAGAAGGTGGGAGGATAAGGAGAGGAGAAATGCAGCTTCCCCATGACTACCACATTTACAAAAATAAAGGCTTATTTTTCAAGACTAAAATTCTAGAAATTTTACAATAGGTGTTTTAAATACATGCAGGCAGAAGCCATTCTAAAGCTGTTGGCTTCTAAATCAGGCTGTGATAAAAGTTTTAAATTCTAATACATATTTATATTTCAAAACACCGATACAAAAATCAGGATTGTTTTACATCAGAAGAAGCATTAAAAAAACAGTTTACAAAGTTCAGTTCATTTGCACTTTTAGCTTTCAGTGACTGAGCACAAATTCTGCAGTAGTAAATTCTGCCTAAAATTTAAAAGTCACCCAACACTTTCCACTGCAAAACACTGCTTTTTTTCTCTTCTAAGAGTTTTGAGTTGACAATGTGAAATAAAATCAAGAGCGCTCAGAAATAGCATTTGAATCATGGATCATCCAGTTTTCAGGCTGTGTTCTTACCAACAAACAACCCTTTTTCCTAATCTTTGCTCAAAGTCAAATTTGACAGCAACCTTCTCTCCCTAACCATTTTTAATGCATCTACATTTACTCCTATGAAAACACACCCCTAACGCTTTCTCTCTTGGAGCAGTCACATTCACCCACCCAAATCAAAGCACATTTCTATGGGATTGGCTTTGTGGGCCCATTTGCCAGAAGCTTTTCCATTGGCTTCAGCCAAATCCAGTGGGCTCTCCACCAGATGGTTGACAAGCCCAGCAGGACTTTGTCTCATGCAGGTAGACCAGCAACCAGAGGCTTATACCTTAGAGTGCAAGCCCAAGGGAGGGGTCTCCTCCTAATGATGGTCAGGTGTTCTGTGTCCTGAAATTCCACCTGTTTGTGGCTTTTCTTACATTTCCTCTTGCTTTGACAACTGACTTTCAGAGCAGTAAAAAAAAAAAAATCAAAACATCTAGTGAGATGGTATCAAATCACAGCAGGATAAAAACTTGGTGGCATCAATCCAGAGCAAAATGTTGCCACCTGCTCTTCTGTCATTACTGTCCTCCTATAAAACTCTCCTGTGTTTCCCAGTAACTAAGCACTGTGCAGAATCTGAGTGTCTCTTACTGCATTTGCTAACTACAACCAAGGAGCTGAGTGGAGAAACTACAAACAAGGAAAATGCAGCAGCTCAGCCTAATGGCAAAGAGCTGGCCATCCAACAGGTCTGGCTTTTTGCCCAGTGTCAAGCTAGATATTCACCTCCTGCACACAGAGCTAACACTGTGTTGGGAGCTACACCATGAACCACAAGCTTTAAGTATTCATACAAACATACATGCAGATGCATGTCCTCTGCTCCTTAGATGGACATTAATGAGCTATTTGAATGTTAAATAGGCTATTTAAAGAGTGACATTTGGAGATGTAACCAATGCTCAGGGCACCTGCAGGAACATTAATCATATATTTCAAGGTGAGTGCTTCCAACTGCTGCCTGGGAGTACATATCTGGGAAAGAGGGCAATTCCTTTCCCACCATCAGCACTACTTTTAAAGCATACACACTTCACAAAGAATTTCTTGTTCTTTGCTCAGCTCTGGACAGCCTAGGTTCACTTCAGTAACCAACATGAAGAGAGCATGGTCCAGCTACTGGGACCAAGCCCAGAACACATGGCAATTCTGCCTGGTGTGGGGTGGGAAGGAGCACCTGATTGCACTGGGAGGGGAAAGCAGGGTACAGCAAACAAGTCACAAAGCCCAAAGCTAGTCCCAAAGTCTCCAACAGGCTGTGGGTTAAGATATTTTCCAAGCCTTATGACACTTGTTCTTCTTTTCACATCCAGAAATACTCATCCCATTGAGAATTAAGATTGCTCCAAGTACTTAAACCTAACTGGAGAACTTCTGACCTGAACACACTAAAATACCATTAAAGCATGAGACACTGCCCTCGCTCAACTCTCCAAAGGAATCATACTAAATTTTTCTGGTTTGGGTCCAGACCAAGTCGGACAGAGTCTCCTGCTCTG